CCTAAACTTTAGTTGTTCTTAAAATATCTAAAATAAATTTGTAAAGAACCATTACAGTGTCTTTGCCACCAAGTTTTTTTTTTTCCTTGAAGATGTTTTACCGGCTCAGTTTTGCAATGCAAATTGCAAACTGAATCAAAGTAACACATTATACAGTTCTATTGTGTGTGTTTCTTTACCTTTTAGCAACTTGATGCTGATGTTAATTTTCAACCCGCTGTTCATATTTACCCTTGTTGGTGGTACATGTTGTAAACTTGTAGCTGATGCAAAATATTCAAAACCTATCAAAAGACAGATGAGCAAGAGTGTCATTTTTACCAACAAATCTTGTCTTTGTGAAATGCATACAAGTTTTCAACATGTTCTCTCATTGAATGAGCAAACATGTTGCAAACTTGCTTGCACATAACTTAATTTTTTTTAAGTTTTAAAGTTGTATGTACTTAAGGACAAATCTAGTAAACTGTAGCATTTTTTTTTTGCCTGACAACTTTCCATTTCTAAACTGTAAATAAAGTTTAATAATTTTTATATATAGTATTTTGCTTGTGGAAATTATCTAGGTTTTTTTCATAAAATTCAAACTGTTTGCATTAGTCAAGATTCAAAAAGTCAAGAAATACTTATCTAATTTCTTTTTCTCCATTTACATATCTCTTACTTACTGATAAAATTTGTTGGTTTGCAGTTGTTACCTTGTCTGCTGAAATTGAATGGTAATTTGCAGCTTTAATTTCATTAATTAGCCGCTCTTATTTACATTTCTTTCCAATTATATCAATTAATTCATGTTGACTCTTGGGGCCAAAGTAGCTGACATTTTTGCATAATGGTGTTTGTATATGTCCGCTAAGTTCAGCGTTATAGCAAGCTACTTCTTGCACTATTGCAAAAAAGTTTCCAGGATTACCTTTTTGGTCTGAGTTTTCCATACACTTTTCATATGTTTCATGAAATGCAAGTCTTTGTTTCCCCATAAAATGCACTATTCTACCTAATGTTTCAACAATGTTCGATTATATTTGTTGCTGGTTTTTTAAAGTGCTATTACTTTGTAATTGAATGGTTTGTCTTAAATCTTCAAAACTACAAAAAATGCCATCAGCTTTTTCAATAGCTTTTTTATGGTATCTATTGCCTATATGTAGTTTTTGTTTCTCTAAAAAATTGTGCCATTCCTTATATTCGTGGTTAACAAAAGCTCCTAAAGATTTTTTTTATCTAGCTTTAGAAATTAAGTGCATTATATGCAGTAGACTGCGTCTTCACTTTAGCTAAATCCATTTTGTAAATAATCTTTTTTACAAGCCCGTTTTCAACCATGTTTTAATGTTTTGGGAAATTGATAATGTATTTTCTGGTTTAAGTTTTCTATTATAATTTTTTAAATATTTTTTGTGGTGATAATTTTTGGTTTCCGCGCAGAGTTTGTCAATATCATATCGTTTTTCTTCTTCTTTAAAGTCACATTCTTTTAAATTTGTTTGGTTCACTTCGCATGACAAGTTTTTGTTAACATAATTATCATCTTTAATGACCTCTTTTATTTCTTCTACTTCAGGTAATAGGTAAAATAATATCAGTTACATTTGGAGAACTGTCGATAATAAAATAAGCCATATATTTCATTATATTATACAATGTACTATTTATAATTGTTCATCCTAAATTAAAATATACAAAACACACACTATACGTGTACGTATGTATGTATGTATGTACACTAGAAATGAAAGTAATTATTAAACTTTCAAATCTTAAGCTATACCAAAATTAAAAAAACTCACGTAAACATTAATATAAAAAATAAGTAATAATAAAAGTACTACCATAAAAAATATAACGAACAAATAATATCTATATCTATATTTAGTTAATATCTATATCTAGATAATATCAAACTAATCAAATTATAAAAAGAAGATCAAAATAACTTTTTTACTTAAAATATCTAGCTAACGATTTGCATTTCTTTGCAGAATTTTGAAATTCTATTCTATCAGCTGCTCATTTCCTAATTTGGTTAGGCATGTTAACTCTATCACTTGCTTTTAAGAGTTAGTATTAGTAGAGAATCATAAACTATCAAGAGACTATTTTTCATTTTTCGCTGACAAACGATTTCACAATGACAACTAAATTTATGAAATTATCTGGGTTTTTTTCATAAAATTCAAACTGTTTGCATTTATGGACAAATTTCAAAAAATTAAAAAAAAATTTTAAAAAATCAAAATCTTTTTTTTACCTAAAATTAAAAATAATTCTTTTATTTTTGCTTTTTTTTTATAACTTGCTTTATATTTATTAATCAACTAATATTCCTGAAAAAAAATCTCAATGTTAAAAAGTTATTTTTAATTATTGAGAATATATAAGGTTTTTGAGAAGAGTGTCTGCTTTGCTCTTCACTCTACTTTCTTTCTTTATTTTTTATTAAAAAAGTTAACTTCTTAACACTGCTCAATTGGTCTAATAAACAACTATATTTCAGAAAAAGAAAATCCTAAAAATTCTCAATATTAAAAAAGTTATTTTTTAGTTAATGAGAACTTTATATCTTTTTGTGAAGAGTGTCTGCATTGCTTTAAACTCTACCTACTTGTTTTTTAATAAAAATAACATTAGTTAACTTCTAGAAAAATCTTTTTATTATAGAAAAAAAAAATCAAATATATTTTATCCAGTGCAAAATAAACAAAGAATTAAACTTTAATTTTAATTGTCAAATCTTAAGAATTAAAGGAAAAGTTCATCAAGTTTAAACAACAATAACAAAACAACCTATATTTTACCATCAGACTAAAAAAAATGTTTTAATGAAATAAAATCTATACAACAGTATACAAACAAAGGGTTTGAAAAAATCTACGACAACGTTATGTCAAAAAGATTAAAAAATACAGAAATATAATATTAGTATTCTTTAGCAATTAAATTAATACAATAGACGTCTTCACAGTTCCGATAATTTTATGCGCGCGCATATTTAATATTACGTCATGGTACTTTATGCGCAGAATCGCATGAAAACAAGTAAATACTCATATAAATTAAGATAGTAACCTTGAAAGAAACAGTTGTTTACATGAAATTTTTTTTATTTTTTTTCAAAAAAGATATTGATTTAGTTTAATATAAGTTTATTTTACCCATTTTAAGTTTAAAATCTATACTGTTTATATGTTTTTGTTTTATAATATTTGTAATCAAGGAAAAAACAAATTTGTACGTTGAGTGTAAAAGTATTTAATATTGATTAATAAAAATGAGCTTTCGGGAAAGAATATTATATATATATATATATATATATATATATATATATATATATATATATATATATATATATATATATATATATATATATATATATATATATATATATATATATATATATATATATATATATATACACTCACATATATATGTATATATATTATATTTATATATATATATATATATATATATATATATATATATATATATATATATATATATATATATATATATATATATATATATATATATATATATATATATATATATATTGTATATATAATGCAAAAGATAAAGAGAATTATTTAAGACCTTTCATTTCTTTCATATATATCCTATAAAACAAACATATAAAAAGTATAAATATATAAATAATATAAATTTAGCCTTAAAATAGTTAAAATAAAGTTAAATAATTCAAAATCGACACTTTTATTATGAATAAAAGTAAAGAAATTTTATGTAAACAACTGTTTCTTTTAAGAATGGTTTCATAATATATTTGTTTATTTACTTTCTTTCATGCGATTCTGCGCACAATTAACAATAACAAACTATTTAAAAATGCGCGCGCACGAAATTATCGAAACTGTGAAGAGGTGTATTATTTAGTTTATATATTTACTTAACATAACACGACTTAATTTCCTAATGATTCTGTTCAAAATGCAATAGGATAATTTAGGCTTTATTTTTCTTTGATTATTATCTATTTGTTTTAAAATTTATTAAAAAATTGTAAAACAAATAATACATATTTACAATAACATTATTCACATGGCTATATACAAAAAAAGAAACTAAAAATAGAAAGAAAAATATGTTTACGAAAATTATAAAATAAGGGGTTGTTGTTTAGAAACAAAACGTTTATTGTGCTGATTTATAATTAATTCTAACTAATTTTGAAAAGAATTTGCTAATTCTATTTAATTTGATCTATTTGATCAAATTAAAAAGAAGCTTTTGTTGTAAGCTTGTAAGTATATTGCTGATACAGTTTTGCTTGTGCAGCTTTGGTTTGAGCTTTATAAAAATTGTTATGTTATTATCAATTAATTTGTTTTTCTATTGATATGATAGATTTTTGTCTTTAAAAATTTATTTTAAAAAACCAATCATAAAAACTATGATTGGTTTTTTAAACTTTTATTATAAAATGATGTTATGAAAAAAAGCTCCAAATATATCAAATCTATGGACAATGTGTAGTCAATAAACAAATAATATGCACTTAGCAACCTGTAAAATGAGCATTATTGTGATACCAAGAAATATCTAACAGCTTGGTAACAGGCTGGAGAGGATGGGGTTCCATTAATGAAAGCACAATTACCCCAAACTATTTTTTAAACAGTTCAAGTTTTTTTTTCAAAGTGGCATAGATGCAGTGTTATAACATTTTATTATTTGTGAGTGTTATGATTCAAGACATTGTTTTTAAAATATTTAAATATCAGTAATAGATAATTTAAAATAGTTGATAGTACAAAATTCCTACAACAAAAGACATACCATAAAGACAAACCATAACCCTAACAAAGATTTTTATTGTTAACTTGATAAAAACAATATAGTAGTACAAAATGACAATAACATGAACACCGTAAAAACTTGTTTTATAATGTGTTACTAGTAAACATTATTTTTATCTTTTTGTTGTGTTAGTTTTGTAGGATAAACATTGTTAAAAGTAAAGTTTTTGCATAACTATCATTTAGATTCTTCAAATCCACCAGATGTTGCTAGCAGAGTTCATGTCAATAAAGGTAATAAGAGTAGTTCAAAGTTATAACTTTAATTAATCTTAAATAAAAAGTTTTTTAGAAATTTAACTTTACACTACTTTTTAATTATTACAGATTTAATAATATAATAATAATTATATAATAATAATAAATAAATCAAAAGTTACTAGCAGATGATGATAATGATTGATGTTTAGATATATCAGAGGTATGCACAGCACTAAAAAATTATTATCTGAAAGATTATGGCAAAATAAATGAACTTCAACCACTATTAAAAGCACCTGCTAATGTTGATCTAATACAAAAATTTGTTGATCTATGTATTGTTGATGCACATAATGCTCAAATGGATGTTGTTTGTAGTGTTGAACGAAATAAATTTCTTGAAAAGCAAATGAGTTATACACCAATTCCATATAGTGAAATATTTATGAACGAAAAATCAGTAATATTAATATCTGGAATAGCTGGTATTGGAAAAACATGGTTGCTCAGAAAGTGTTTGCTTGATTGGTCGAAAAATTTGATTTGGAATAATGTTGAACTTGTGTTTTATTTGGAATGCAGGAGGCTTAATCAATATCAAAATGTTTTGAATATTAATGAATTATTAAATGTTTTCTACAAACATATTTTAAATGATTTTGATATTAGTAAGCATACTACATTGTTTATAATTGATGGATTAGATGAATTTAAATATTTAAATGAATTATTAAATCCAAATTTAAGTTGTACCTTTCCGATTGTTAATGCTTTAGCAGAAATTCAAAGTTATAAACATGTAGTTGCTGGTAGAGTTTATGCAATTGATAAATACCAAAATATATATACAGAGCATTTTGATAAGTTAACCATTCAAATAATGGGATTTAACCAAGGCGGAGTTGAAAATTATGTAGAAAATCATGTTATAGAAGAAAAAAAAGAAGTTGTTAAAGCAACTTTAAAGGAGTCTTCAATTGCAAAAGTTATGGCGACTGTTCCATTTTATTTATCTTCCATGTGTAAAATTATTAGTGATTCAAGCAAAATATATACAACTTCTTTCTTAACGATGACAGAATTGTATGCAAATATTTTTTTATACTTTTTGCAAAAACACATTATCAAAAATAATGGATTGGTTTATGAAATGATGGCAAATGAAAATAATAAGAAATATGTATTAACTATTTGTAGGATAGCTTTTGAATTGTTTATTGAAAACAAATTTATTTTTTTGAAAGAAGAAGTTTTACTATTTATCAATAACTTTAATGAAGTTGATGAAAGTCTTTTTGGTTTTATTGAAAGGGTTGAAACTCATCTTGGTTATTTTTACCAATTCGCACATTTGACAGTGATGGAGTTTTGTGCATCTGTGTATGCATACAATTGTTTAAGCTTTGAAGAGATTATGGCCAATAAAAAGCTGAAGAGTTGTTTATCAATGATTTGTGGATTAAGCAATAAAAGCCAAAATATTATATTAAAGTTTCTTGTTAACCTGAATCCTTCTAAAAAATCAAAAGAAGAGTCTTCACTTTTGGTTTCTATTTTGGGTAAGTAAGTAGTTTGTTATTAAACTTTGGTGCATTTTTGATAAATATACATATGGACAAATGTACAAATTTTGTTTAATGTCATTTTTTTTTTAAAGAGAAAACATAATTATCAAAATATTTTTATCATAAAAATATTTTTTATATTATTTTCTTTTAAGCTTTTTTTTTTTTTTTTTTTTTTTTTGATTAGTTGCTATTTTATATCTTTCATTCTCTACATGATTTACTTTTTTTTTTTATTAGGTGTGTTTAACAATATTTAGCAACTGTTTTAGGGATATTTAAATAAATATGTCAATGTTCTTTTTTTCTGCACAAGTTGCTTGACACAAATCTTTATGTATGTATATTCTTTCATAAACTATATCCATTGAAGTACTCTATGTAGTTAAGCCACTTTTAAAATATTATAGCATCTGTATGATAATCTGTTGACTATGAAATATTTCCGTTAAATAGTCAGGTCTGAATTATGAGAAGACGAAAAAAATTAAAATGATAAATTTTTGCGGTACCTAAAAATAAAAATGTTTGTAGGAAAAAAACCCAGACCAAAGTTTTTTTTTTTTTTTAGTTATCTTAAAATCAAAATCGCTCATTCAATTTTAATAAGATTTTAAATTAATACGTTTTTAGGTGAAATGAACATTATAGTTTAACAAAATAATCTCTTCTGTTGGTTTATTGGCAATTTTCCATAAATATAAGCTATTTTTTGGTTGGAATTCTAGTATTTTTTGTAAAAATTGATAAAAAGTATTGTGTTTTGATAACTATATATAGTTAATATACGTCTGAACCAATTAGAACTAGGATCAGTAGTAAATTAAGGAACTTTTTTTAAAAAATTCGAACTAAATTCATGTTAATGCTGATGAGTGGAATTAATCTAAAGACTCCAAAGTTTTCTTTAGATTCACTATTACGGGTTGTAAAAAGGTTTTGAAAATTATATAATAAAAAGAAATGTTTCATTAAATATTAAAAAACTCTGAAGCAAAAAAAAATTGTACCATCTAAATCTTTTGTTTGGACATAATACGCTGATATAATCATGCTTATTATTTTTTCTTTGTAACATTATTATCTGTGTGTGTGACCTTCTATGTCTTTATAACTTAATAAAATTTATGTCTTTATAACTTAATAAAATTAAGTTATAAAGACATAAAAGTTAATAAAGTTTTCAATTAAAAAGTAAGTCTGCTTTTGGTTGAACTTTATTTAACATAATATTTAAAATTGATAAGATTGATTACATTTTTTGGAGCTCACCAGTGGGTTTTTCTAAGCTGCTAGTACGTGTTTTTAATTATAGAAGATGTGAAGATAAAATAATAAAAAAATAGTTAAAAAGCTATCGGTCTAACAAATATATTATGACTAAAATTGTTTGCAACTGAGTTGAGTGCAAAATTTATTTCAGTAAATATTTATCCTGTATATTAAAAATGGAAATATGATAATAGTAGTTGTGAAAGTAACAAAATAATGATTATATAATAATTCATTTTCAATGCTTTTAGCGCTTGAGTACTTGTCATATCCCTAAAACATTTTAGCACATTTCTTGTAACAAGAGTCTGGCTTTAACATAGTATTTGTATTAAAAATAGTCTATAGAGCTACAAAAACAAAGGCAGTAGGTCATATATTGTTGCACTTTTACCTTAATCAAGTATTTCTTGAATATTCTAATTAATGTTTGTACCCGTATAAAGACATTTCATCTCTCGATTTATATCAGCATTATCAAACAAACCATTTTCTATTATGTGACCCAGATACTTGAATTTGTCAATGAAACTAATTCACATCCAGCTAAGGTAAACAGTACAAAATTGCTTGACACATTCTTACATCTCTGTTTTGGTTTAAATACCATGCACACCGTTTTTTTTGTTGTTGTATTAAATGGCATGTTAATGGCAGTGGCTTCAACATTCAATGCAGTTAATAATTTTGCAATGCAAACCAACATGGCTTCCTCTAGAAATAAAGTATTTAACTGTCTTTTTTAAACAATATGTACAAGACATTGTGGAAAGACTTTTCTTGAAACCAAACTGAAAATCATCAGCATTCTCATGAGATATTATTCTTTCTAATCAAATACCTTCAAATGTTTTAGAGCAAGCGGGAGAGATTGCAATTACTCAGAATTAATTAGAAAAAATACCTAGATAAAGAGACAGTCTATGTCCTCCATATATAAATGATTTCATAAACGAATCATCTGGTCTAGCAGATTTTCTCTTTTTTTGCTTAAACAAAGGATTAGTTACATCTATAATAGTAACTCTAACAGGTATGTCCAGTAATGAAGAATGCACTTTCTGTTCAACCTGTATTCTATGCTGGTTATCATTAAGTGAATTATATATTGTTTGAAAATGTTTCTTTCATATAGTGGCAATGTCTTTGTCACCAGTAACTCTGCCAATACTAGCAATATGATTGGTTGCCTTAACATTATTGATATTCTCTGTAACCTCTGTCAGCTTTAATTTGCTCAGTATGATTTTTACAGTGCCTAAAAGCAAGTTTAAATACTGTTCGAGTTTTTTTCATTCTTTCAAAAATAATTACATGTTTAGGTTTTCCATCAACTACCCATTGTTTGAATGCATCCCAGCATTTTTTTTTTCTTAACTAAAGCTCATTCATACAATATGTAAGGCACTCTTTAGGTTTTCCTCTACCACTATCAATTTCTACTGAAGCTGCTACATCTCTATATGCTGATGCTTAAATTACTTTATCTTTGTTTAACATTGTTCAATACAATGTTTTGTTGAATCTGTCTAAAATTATGCCTTCTTTTTTATGTCACACCACACATTCATCTGATTTTTTTTTTACTTTTTACAAATACTATTTCATAAATTCTAAAATTTATATAACAATAAAAGGATATTGTATGCATCTAAATAAATAGTAATCAGATATGTTTATATCCATAATATGTATGGAAATATCTAGGAAACTTTTAGCTTTTCTGAAATGAATGTTTGGAAGCTTTTATTACTTCTCTTCAATTTTAATTCAAGCCTCATTATACTCTACATTTTTCACCATCTCGAGCAGTTGCTTATAAAACAATAATGATTTTTTTTCATCTTTTTTACAAAAACATCTCTCTTAAGAACAAATTTCCTTTTATGTAAAATAGTCCTGTCTAATGTTAAGCTCTGTCAGAGACTTTTGGTTTGTCTTCAACATTGTCGTTAACTAAAGTAAGTCTAACAATTAATCTCTAGTTCATGTGTTATTTTTACTTCTCCCCAGAATAAAGCAGATTTATTTGCAAAGAAATCTTATCCTTATTTGACTCTTGAATATAATAGCCATACTTTTCCTAACACTTGAACAGATTAAATCATTGTTATCCAAATCATTCTTCCAGCGGCTTCCAATGATAAAGTTAATTCTTAATTAAACACTTCTACAGTTTGGGCTCCATAATAGATCTCCATCATAGTTCAAAAAGTTCTCCAAAACTCTCTTTAATTGTTGCTAAACTTTTATAATGTGCTAAATAAGTGGTTCTAATTTTTTAAAACTCTAGAAAACACTTTGACCTCTCCAACTATCCTACAATTAGCTTTTTCTATCTTATTAGTTTCTTCATATAAAGATTTTGAGGTTATTAAATGTTTTTTTTTCTAACTTCAGTAGTAAAGTTGTTATTTAAGGCTTACCATCTTTTTTATTCTAAGTAACTTTAAGGGTACCAGAAGGTTGTACCTTTGCTCCTATATTGTTACTTATCTACAATAACGATCTTCATTAAATGTAAAGTAGCTCTATTTCCTGACGACTCAACTTGATACTCTTCTCTTGACAAAAAAGTCTTCACTTTTTTCTGTAACAGCCTAAGGCTTGCAGTGGCTTGTGGATTTTAAATCTGGATTTAAAATCCACAACTTTTATTAGACAACAAAACTGATTTATTTGGTGCAAAAAAATATTGCAATATTGTTGGCATTCCTATATTGTTATATATAGTAACCTTCTTACCTTCAGTCAAAGTCTAAACGCAAATTGTAACTGTAATTAGACCTGCTTTATCTCCCAAGCTTGAGCCACTCTTCCATTGCTCTAAGGTTGCATTTCTTTTTTCTACAAATACAATAATGTCAATGCTCAAACAAGCTATCATCTCTATCCAAAACATAATGTATTAAATAAAAAAATAATAAAAAATTGATAAGATACTATTTAAAATAAATCTTTTTATATATGCTTTAAAACTAAACAAAAATTTGATACAAAGTTTTTGTAAATGTTTTTTCTATAGCTTTATAAAATTTTAAAATCATCAAGTTGAAACTATTTTTAAAACTTAAATCCATATAGTAGAAACCAAGTTTTAAAATTTTTTAACAAAATTTTAATTATTCAAATATAAGCTTATTCAGAGACAAAAATTTAGAGACAAAAAAAAATCATGTCTTAAATAAAAAAATAATGTAAATTGGTAAAATACTATTTAAAAAAAATCTTTTTATATATGCTCTCTACAGCAATATTTACTCATATTGGCATTATTTTCAAAGGTTCTGTGTCCAAATACGCACAAATGAACATTATCCTTTGCATTAAGTAAAGCAATTGTTTAATTTTTATAAATAGATTATAACTTAATATTACATTAAGCTTGAATATTGAAGCATCACGTAACATTGATCCTTTTGTATATAACTAATTTTGTCAAAAAATCAAATTTAAAACAATTGATTACATAATTTGATTTGTGTTCTCCTATGGGTAAAGAAATACATTGGTAACCCTATTAACAAGTACATCAAAATGTACATATACATGTAAAAAGAAAACTTTATAAACATCTCTTCAATTTTAGGTGACAAATTAATTTTTTTGCTAATGTTTAATATTTACTTGTAATTTTTCAATAACAATAAAGTCATTACAAAGTCTACAAGCATACAAAATATTCACATAAAAAGCTTGACCTCTGATCAAAAATAATCTAA